GTAGAATAAAAGAAATAATAAAAAACCAAAGCAGAAATAAATGAAATCGAAACTAAAAAAGCAATCCAAAAGATCAATGAAACCAAAAGCTGGTTCTTCGAAAAACAAATAAAATAGACAAACCCCTAGCCAGGCTCACAAAGGAAAAAGAGGAGAAAGCACAAATAAACAGGATCACAAATGAAAGAGGAGAAATCACAACAGACACAGCAGAAATCAAAAGTATAATCAGAGACTACTATTAACAGTTATAAGGAAACAAGTTCAACAATCTATAAGAGATGGACAAATTCCTACAACTCTACAATCACCCAAAGCTAGATAAAGAAGACATAGAACACCTAAACAGACCAATGACATGCAGCAAAATTGAAATGGTAATCAAAAACCTCCCCCAAAACAAAAGCCCATGACCTGATGGATTTACAAATGAATTCTACCAAACATTCAGAGATGAATTAGTGCCTATCCTTCACAAACTCTTCCACAAAATTGAGACGGAAGGGATAATACCAAACATGTTCTATGAAGCCAACATTGCACTAAAACCAAAATCGAAGAAGGACAATACAAAAAGGAAAACTTAAGGCCAATCTCCCTAATGAACACTGATGCCAAAAATCCTCAATAAAATTTTAGCTATCAGGGTCTCCCCAGTGGCGCTGCAGTTGAGCACTGGGTTGCGAAGCTGCCCGCAGCTTCTGCAGCGCTGGTTTGATCCCCGACTGCTCCCCGGCCACCGGAGGAGGGTCCCGCATGGCGCACAGACCTCTCCTGCCGCCCGCTGCTCCCCTCAGCAGTGTACTTCGGTCCTTCTACCTGCTCTGCTCCCTGCTCTGTCTCTGGTGAATTCTCTCACCCTCCCGTGCTTCTGACTGTAGCCAGTGCATGTATAAACAAACAAATAAATAAATAAAAATGCCTCTATTGAAAAAAAAAACAAAAACATATGATAATATCAATAGATGCCAAGAAAGCTTTCGACAAAGTACAACATCCATTCATGATAAAAGCCCTTGAAATTCTTGGGATACAAGGAACATACCTCAACATCATAAAGGCCATCTATGACAAGCCAACAGCCAGTATCATTCTCAATGGTGAAAAGCTGAAAGCAATTCCATTAAGATCTGGAACAAGACAAGGATGTCCACTCTCACCACTGCTTTTCAATATAATACTGGAAGTCCAAGTGAGAGCAATAAGACAAGAGAAAGACATACAAGGATACCAAATAGGAAAAGAAGAAGTCAAACTATCACTATTTGCAGATGATATGATAATATACTTAGAGAACCCCAAAAACTCCACAGAAAAACTAATTCAACTCATCAATCAGTTTAGTAAAGTGGAAGGATACAAAATCAACACGCAAAAATCAGTAGCCTTCCTATAAACAAACAACAAATCTGAAGAAGAAATTAAAAAAAAATCCCTTTTATTATTGAAACAAAAAAAAATCAAATAATTGGGAATAACTCTAACAAAAGAGATAAAGGACCTATACAAAGAAAACTATAAAACACTGTTAAAAGAAATAGAAGACACAAAGAAATGGAAAGACATGCCCTACTCATGGATTGGAAGAATTAACATCATCAAAATGGGAGTGCAAACTGGTCCAACCACTATGGAGAGCCGTGTAGAGATTTCTTGAACTACTAGACATAGAGCTTCCATATGATCCAGCAATTCCACTCCTAGGTATTTACCCAAAAGACACAGAAACATCAATTCCAAAGAGCACCTGCACCCCTATGTTTATAGCAGCACTATTTACAACAGCTAAGCTTTGGAAACAACCCAAATGCCCAAAAATAGATGACTGGATCAAGAAGATGTGGTACATATACACCATGGAATATTACTCAGCATTCAAAAAAGATAAACACATGCAATTTGCAGCAACATGGATGGCGCTGGAAGGGATCATGCTCAGCGAAATAAGCCAGAAAGAAAAAGAAAAATACCGGATGGTCTCACTCATAGCAGGAATCTAGAAAACCTAAATAAGATATCAGGAAAAAGACTAATCGATACAAAGTAAAAATCAAAATCAACAAGCAACTATAAACGAGACACACACTACGGATCGGAGGGGTGAGGAGGGGCGAGGAAAGGAAGGACTACAGTGAAAGTAAGGGGGGGTGTGAAACTGTATGGGGAATATAACCAAAATGAAAATGCATACGTTGTTCAAAGATGAAAAAAGATGTAAGAATTGTATAAAATAAAATATTTAAATAAAAAATATATATTAAACAGTAGTGAAATCCTAGTGCCTGTATGTGGTGCGTGAGCTGTCACAAGAAGGACCCAGCATCACCTGTAAAATGAGACCAAGCTGTGATCACTCTTCCAAAGGGGAAGGTTGTTTAACAAAGAAACTACCATGCACTCAATAATGGACAAACAGCCAATGACACAGGCCACACAAGAACATTCTACGGACAGGCTCAGGATGGACAAAGTATACCTGGGGTACACGGGCAGGATGACAGAGGAGAAAGAAGATGACGGGGACTGGGGGTCACAACTGCTAGGTCACTGGAGTCTGATATCTCCTCAGGCTTTGCTCAGCCTGGGCCCAGTCTCCTGGAAGGCCCCTGCAGTGCTAACCAGCCAAGACAGACCACAGGAGGGAACTAGAGCTGTGTTGGGTCAAACCCAGGAGGCGATTGTGAATACAGAGCTTGGAGGCCAGCCTGCCTTTCTGACATGACAAACATGTGGAAGAAGCTTGGGGCTCACCCCATTTTTCCTCAGGCACCTATTCTACCCCACTGCTGTTCCCCAACTTATTGTGGAGCCCCACAGAATTGTAAGTTTCTATAATGGCCAAACCTTCCCAACCCACAAGGTCCCAGAAGGTAGTAGGAGTGGATGCTTTGGTCCATCCCAACCGTAAGCTACCAACACTTTCCTCAAGACAAGGGTCCCTAGAGCAGCTGTCCTTTATAAACACACCTCCCCCATCCTAAACTAGGTGCTAATACTAACTGGTTCTTTATTTCTAAAATTTGTCTTTTCAGGCCTGATATGTGAGAAAAAATGGAGTCCCTGCCCTGTGTGTGTAGCCTTTGGAACTGCCATTGTCACTAGTAGAGTCCTAATAGGAAGGCCCTGAAGACCTGCAAAAAGGGAAAAGGGAAGACCTGGGGCAGGAGGGTGAATAAAGTGCTCTGTGGTTGGGAATTCTAGCCCATTATCATGGTCTTCGTTATTTAGAGAAGATCACTTACTCTCTCCCTGTTTCCTCGTTTAGTCGACAGGAGCAGAAGCTGCAGTGGATTATTCTGAGTTTCTGGTGAGGGGCCCATGTCACACTCACCAAGGGCCTGGTCTCCATCAGGCTCAGAAGCAGTCATGCTGGTGACTGTCAGCACATGCAGGTTGACATTCCTCCTGTGGTCCTGGCTTGGAGACCTAATTAGTCCCAGACACTGGGCTGTGATCAAGTGTACTGGGCATAACTATTTCACCCTTTGAAGACACTCAGCTGTAAAAATCAACTTCCATATTGACACCCACACCTGCCATTCTTCTAAATTCAGGAAATCACCAGCTTGAGGCCCTTAGGCTCAGGGCTTAGACAAGACTGAGACACACACCCCAGGGACTGGAGAAGATTTGCATTGGCTGCCCCGCCTCCTGGAGCTGCAGGCAGGGAGGAAAAGACAGGAGCCTGGAGAGGCCAGTGCAGCTGGGCAGCCTCAGGGCAGAGGTTTCCAGAAACTCTTGCTGAATTTGCTGTAATGCTGGTTATTGGAGCTATATCGCAAAAAAAGTGAGGTAAGCCCAAAAAGGTAAACTTACTTATGTCACAAGTGAGCAACTCAGACCAAGTTTCTCACCAGAGAGATACATTATAGTCCTTATTTTATTTCATAAAAACACACCTTGTGCAGATGATGTTTTACAAGAGTGTGAAGACTCTCTCCAGCTGTTATATTGGGTGACAGTAAAGGGTGCAGGTTCCTGTAGCTCCAGGAAATGCCTCTTCAGAGCCCTGAGTGGGGCTGCGTCTCTGGCTGAGTCTGCTCAGCAGGTGAGGCTACTGCCTTAGAAAGGTCACCTCAGGGCCCCCGGAATGTACACATGTCAACGGTGCACGTTTTCACAATGAAAAACCAGAGATTTCCTCCTCATACTCTACTGACAAGCTCCAAGAGGACGTGTAAGTTGTGGGAAGAGATCACATGGGGTTGGTGGACTCAACTGCGACTCAAAGAGGATCCACACTGATGACAGATCATTACAGTTTCATCTTCTTACCAGCTATTGGAACAAGAGCAGAGGATTGAGGAGATTTTCTGTGTTGCGTCACAGGATCTGGCAATTTCCTGTCCGGGAAATTTTGAGGATAAAGGTCATTGAAAGACCATTCCAGTGATATCAGTCTGGACGACTTTTTCCTGGGGTTTCTAATCAGCCCCAGAGAGCACTGGGAACAACTCCAATACACCTAAGCTGCCCTGATGTAGAGAGTAGCACCCTCTCCGGCTGCTGGAAAAACTTTCAGGGAGAACCTGTCTCCACTATTTGCCCCCATTTTCCCTTCCCCAACCCTGCCTGATTTTGCTACACACAGAAGAGGGTGTCATTTCTGACCTTAGACCTCCCAGGTCTAGCTCTCTCCAATTCCCCAAAGGTGTGCTAGAGAATGCCATTCACCTTCTCTAAATCTTTTCCCTTCCCTGTCAAATGTCCTTCATTGTCAGCTAGAGTGGGCAACAGTCACCCTGTGGGACCCAAGTCAGATAAGCCAGGAACAGAGGCACAGGCAGCACCTTAGCCCCCAGGCAGCACCTTAGCCCCCAGCTAGATGCCTGGGGGTGAAGGTGCAGGTAGGGGAATAGTAACCATTACTTTGTGTTCAGCCCCCAGGTCACCAGGGAGGGGCCCAGGTCTGGATTTATGGATCACATCTGCCCCACCCAGCAGCCTAGACACAGAGGCCCCCTAAACACTGTGCTGGTGCCAGAGATCCTGATGATTACCTGGAAAATCCACCTAGTCTGCTGATATCACTTGATCCTTCCTCCAAGGTTCTTAGGAGAAAGTGTTACAGAGGAAGAGATCTATCATTGAGTCACAGACTCCTGCCATCATCACTGTCTTTTACATCAGACAAACCAGAACTTTCCCTGTTACAGACAAACGGACTCACGGGCTTTCTATACATGTCAACAGTATGACACAAGCATTTGTAGAAAGAAAGAATTTATTGTGATTTGACAGGGAGCTACATCAGTCCAGAAATTTTCTTCATCTGAACATAATGTCATTGACTAGAACTGATATATTCATGTTTTGGGACAAAGGTAGACTTCTTGGGTTTTATGTATTTATTTATTCTTACGAGAGCTGGGTGTAGGCGAGAGATGCAGGGGCGTGAGAGGGGTCATCAGAGACACAGCGTGGAGCAGAACAGGCAGATCTACTGAAATACACTGTGAGGGGAGAAGGGGACAAGACAGGAGAGGTCTGCTGAGTCAGGTGGGTAGCTCCCTGGCCAGGGATCGAACTCATGCTGCGATGGCTGCAAATTGCTTCATAGTGCTGAAACCTAATGCCTTGTGCCACCAAGGAGGACCCCTCATGGTCTTTCTATTCTGGCACTGGCAACAGAGTCCAGCTTAGAGATGAAGAACGACACACGGGGAGGATGTGGTGAGGATTGTCACCGCATCTGCAACCACATGTGTCTACTGGCCTCTCTCTGGGAAGAACCTGTCACAGCAGAGCTCAGCTGAAGTGTGCCCCACCCACAGTATGGAAAACTCCTAGGAACAGAGAGGGTACGTGCTCATGCCATATGCCCAGGACAGAATGTATGCAAGAGCAAACTGGCTGTCATGGGCATTACTAGGGAATTGTTCTTCCGTCTCCGTCTTGGGTGCATCATCACCATGGCCCCATGATAGCACTGCACACAGCAGGCACCATCCCCCATGTCTCCCCACACCAAAACGTCATTGTAATCCTGTGACCATTCACAACCTCATGGGTATGCGCTGGGTGTCACAGGAGGGCACAGCCCCTTCCTCTATCAAATGGCGCTGTTCATGTTTGTTTTCAGCTGTGACCCTCTGAAGGCCCTATGCCTAGTCTTGAAGAAAACAGGGGCCAAATCGAGAGGGTAATTCACCTGTGGGCCAGCACTTCATAGCTCAAGGAATCGCCTCCTGATTCAGCTTCTGAATCCCAACCTGAACTAATGAAGCCTCTGTGCCTGCTGCACACAGTTTAGGCAGCCACCAGGGGGCAGCAGAGAGCCACCACAGCAGGGTTAAAGCCTCCCTGCAGCTTGTGACATGGGGAGCATCAGTCAGCAGGAGCTAAGGCCTGAGTGAACAGGGGTCATTTTTCTACAGTGTCATTCTTTTTTTTTTTTTTTTTTTTTAAGATTCATTTATTCATGCATACAAGAACCGGGTAAGGCCAGACACGTGGGAGGGTGAGAGGATTCACAAGAGACAGAGTGGGGAATTGAACAGGCACAATGATGAAATACACTGCTGAGTGGAGCAGCAGGTGAGACAGGAGAGGTCTGCTGCGCCATGTGGGATTCTTGCTGGTCAGCCGGGATCGAACTTGTGCTGCAGAGGCTGCGGAAAGCTTCACAGCGCAGCACTCAACACCTGCGCGACCATGGGAGGCCTATTCTTGACAATCATGTTCTCATTACAGACTTCATAGCCTCAGTCTGAGGCTTGGAGAAATTGTCTTGTTTCTCTGGCTCTTATTCTGATATTTCCATTCCTTCACACACAGCCCAGTCCTGCTAAAGTGGCCTCACTCTCCAGACCCTGGATGAGTGCCTGGACACAGCAGGTGTCTGATAAACTTATGTTGACTTGATTACAAAAGAAGACAGCTTGTTACTTAATACCTTACTCATCAACAAAACACAATTAGAGTGAACTCATAGGGGCGCTGCTCTTAGAGTCCTTTCCAGGCCTCACTGTCACGCAGCATTTTTGGACCCCGTGATGTCTATGTGACCTGAGTGCACACGGAGGATACTGAGGCACAGCCCCTGTGCCTGTCCCAGTCTCTCTCAAATCAGAACAAATGACAGGCCTCAAAAATTTCTGGGTAGGCAAGTGAGGGATTTTATGCAGGATCTGCTGCTCAGAAGCTGTGAGGACAGGGGGAGGACCTGGACCTATCTAAGCCTGGGAATGTCACCTGTAGAACAGGATCAGAACACACAGGCTTCCACGGAATCTGCTGTAGAAGGGCCTGTCCAGAGAGAGGCCAGGACAGAGCCTAGGGGAGGAGATTCAAACAGACCATGAGACCAGAAGAGAAGGAGGGCCCCTAAGCTGAATGTGGGGACTCTAGAAAATACCCCTCCCCTCTCTGTGTCTGAGGCTGACACCACAAAGCTCCCCAAGCAGCAGCCTGGCCCTGGCTGATTTGCATACCCAGCAGCTCTCTCCAGCAAGGGGATAAGACAGGCATGGGGGTTGTCCTGCCCAGCCAGAGCCTCAGGGAGCAGAATGAGGGATCCCACCATGGCCTGGACCCCTCTCCTCCTGGGCCTCCTGGCCATTTCATAAGTGCTGAGCCAGACTCACAACCCCCGGCTTCAAGGCTCTGGGACAAGACTCATTCTAACTCTGAGCTCAGCAGGGGCTGCCTGTGGGGCAGGATGCTCTTGATCAGCTCAGGATGGGGGGCTGGATTGGGTAGACACCTACTATACTCATTTTTGGTGTGAGCCTGTGGGCCTGTGCCTGTCAAGAGAAGAGGGGGTGTGGAGTCCTTTGCCCAAAATGCCACACATCGGCCAGGCTTATGGGAAGCTGAGGATGACAACGAGGGAAGGGACATCCAAAGGGACACAGCAGCCATCGGGTCTTGGCCAGGCCAGGCAAGGGGAGGTGCTCGAGGAATGGGTCCTGCGCATTACCCCCCCTCTCCTTTTCTTCCTGCAGGCTCTGTGGTCTCCTATGAGCTGACTCAGCCTTCCTTAGTGTCGGTGTCTCTGGGACAGACGGCGAGGTTGACATGTCAGGGAGACAACATTGGTGGTGAATATGTTCAATGGTTCCAGCAGAAGCCCAGCCAGGCCCCTGTGCAGGTCATTTATAAGACTAACCAGCGGCCCTCAGGGATCCCTGACCGGTTCTCAGGCTCCAAATCTGGGAACACGGCCACCCTGACCATCAGCGGGACCCAGTCCGAGGACGAGGCTGACTATTAGTGTCAGGTGTGGGAAGGCAGCAGTGCTCATCCACAGTGACACAGGGCCATGGGAAAGTGAGACACAAATCTCTCCCAGTCTACGTCACAGTCTCCTCTAGCCCCGCGCGGGTGGAGAAATGACCATGAGCAGCTCACACCTGGGTCCCATATCTGAGCTCCCATAGGTCCCGGTCCTCCAGGGAGTGTCAGCACTAGGCAGGACAGGAGGGTGAGAGTGGGAGGGTAAGGATAGAAAAACTAGAAAGGAGGCACCCCAAGATCAGAAACCTGCTCTCACATGAGACAGAGGTGGAGATGGAAGGTATTAATATATCCATTAACCCAGCTATAGGAACTGAGATCCTTAGGCACCAAGGCCTAGAACACAAAGCACAAACCCTAAGCAGGTATCAGACTGCTGTAGGGAGTGTCAGGAGCACAGAACCTGAAGGTGAAGATGTGGAGATTGAGGTGATTGTAGAATCTGTGGTCCTTTCAAATAATACATAGTTATTCAAAATCAACAGCAAACAAACCAGTACACAAAGGAGTGAGCCCCCCCAAAGAGAAGACTGTATCAGTGCAGTCTCTGCACAGGCACAGGGCAGCATCCTTCTGCCCACCTGTGCTTCTTCCTGCCAACTCTCTCCCTACGCAGGGCAGCAGCCTTCCTGCCTGCCCATGACCTGTACCAGGCGGGGCTCCTCTTCACTGACCTCCCTCAGCAGAGGCAGCTCTCCTCAAGGCCACTTGCTTGTGACCATGCAGGCCTCTCTCGTAGCAAACCCACCTCTTTTAGTGCAGCCCTTTCTGCCTGCTTGTGTCTATAACCATGCCCGTTTTGTTCTCTCCCTTTTATAATAACACATAACTAATGATTCTGTGTCATAGCAAACACATAGGGAAGCGCGCCATGTGCCAATGAAAGGGGAGCTCTGGTGAAAACTTTCCCAGAGTAACCCAAGGATCCCCTCTCCAAACCCAACAACTCCAAAATGACATCAGAACACAGGACAGGCTGCCATGTGCTTCTTGCCCACAGTAGTTGTGATGGATTGCGGGCCCAGAAGGTACAGAGAAGAGAAAGTGCAGAGAGAACCCTGAGCTGTGCATGATTCCCAAGAGCACTGGGGAGAACAGCTATTTGGGAGGATGAGGATGGGCTAGAGGAATGGCTCCCTGAGGCACAGAAGGAGCTCCCTCACACTCACACACATACACACACACACACACACACACACAAACACATCCCATCATAGATGCTTTGGCCCAGTCCAGAGAGGAAAGCTCCTAGTAAGGCATCAGGTTTCCTACCCAGGAGAGCTTTGTCTCAGTAGTGGGATAATGAGTCCAAACTCACAGCCATCCCTGGGACTCCTAGAAAGTGTAAAAGGAAACTGAGCAATGATTGAACTGTGCCCCGTCATTTTACAAAATAGAGGTGTTTAAAATGCTTAGAAATGAACACAGACCTCCAGTCCCACACACGGACGCATTCACAAAACCTGGCATCAATCAAAACTTTCTTGCAGAGAATTATGAAAATAAGGTTCTAATTAATAAGAAAAATATCAATGATCCCAAATGGGCTTGAAATTGCCCAGCTGCTATAATTTGAAGATAAGGAAACAAAATAAAAGATTATGATGGTTCCCCTTTGTTCCTGAGAGTACGGACATAAAAAATATTCAGGCATATTCTACGAATGAGCACAGTAGAATCTGAGATTCTAAACCACCATTTCCAAAACTCAGTAAACAACAAGCATAATAAATGCCTCTAGAGAACAACAACATTTTTTAGAACAGTGGAGGAGACAGTGTTAAAAGTCTTCAGAGCTAAGGGGCATTATGGAAGTGGGACAGCATGAGGATGAAGCAGATTTCTCAGGAGAAGAATGCAGGTGAGTGGATGGTGATTA